CCCTACGCTGGGGATCTCAGAGCCTTAAGCCTGTGACCAAGTTTAAGATGGAAAGTTCAGGATGACTCATTAAGAGACAAAACAGCAGCCCATCCCAGGGAGCCTGCAGGGAGACCCACCAACTTACACAGTGCAAATGGGAAGGTCTTTCCCAGGTAGCATTATTAGCAGTTTATCATCAGCTTTGAGCTAGCTTCATTAAGATGTAGAGCCCTATATAGTAACACAAGGGGGTCCTTTTTTTCATGATTTCTGTACTCAGAGTAAACACAGAGACCTTTCTTTGGGACTACATTGGGTTGAGCAGAAAAGTGTTTTCCAGAAGAGAAACCGAAATAAGAAAATAGTGACCTGTCACCTAAGACATACTTGGACTGGTTTTAGTGAATTCTAACTATGAATTGGTTCCCTGATGGTATCAGAGAATGAGAAAAATGAGAGATGAACTGGTGAAAAAAGCCTTAGTTAAGGCTCAAATCAACAGAACTGAGATGAGCCTAAGAAAATTAGGCTAGAGCTTCATTAGTGCTGCAGACAGCATCTCTGCAGTGCAGAGCAAGCAGGCTGCTTTAGTCCAGGCTGAAGATTGAAAAGAGGCTGTTCAGGAAGCTTGGGAGGCTCYTCCTCCTGCCACCAACCTCGGTCAGCTCTGCCACATGCTTCCCAGCCCAGGGGGCTCAGCAGGTTAGATGGGACAGGTTTTAACTTGGAAACACACAGAAAAATCAGTTAYGTATGAACACAGGGCCAGAAACATAAATACAGGAAGGCAGATTTTGGCCAAGGTCCTTTTTCAACAGTGATGACCCCCCCAAAAGGTGTCTGATTCCTCCAGTTACAGCCCCCAGGCTCGCAGGGACATCCCCAGAGCAGCCATCCCAGCGGGAAAATCAAATCTGGAGAAATAAGTGCTAGGAGCTCTGCTCTCTACTGAAACTAGGGCCTAAAAAAGAAAGAAAGGAAGAAAAGACACTAGAAATTTCCTTTAATTAGCACTTAAAAGCCCTGCTGTAAGTCAAGAAGTAAGATAAGCAACGCTGGGCATTAACCTGATGGAAGAGGCCCCATAAGCCCAAGCGTGAAAGCCAGTCACCTGCCCACCGAGCGCAGCTTTTCAGGTCAAACGTCTTCCTCGCGAGGAAAAAAAGTTTACATATTTTGCAGGTCTGTTTAAAAGTGACTTTTAGAAAGTCAAAACAATCCTTGAATTACTGTGTGCGACTTGAAGGCTCGCTGAACAAACAGAACTAACCACTTCATGTTGTTCTGAGCCATTATTTACAGGTGAGGAACAAACAGCAGCTCTCCTTCATAAACAGCATGACTCGGCTGAAGGTTCAAGCAGAAGAGAGTTACTCTGCAGGTCACTAAAGCAGAAAAAAAGCCCTTTTATAAAATAAAACCCTTCAAGCACTGCAGTTCAACTATTGCATTGAAAGAAAAGGTATTTTGGAAGGATTTTCCACTGACCATTCTGCTTCTTTGCAGTCTAGAGCACCCCTCATGGCTTCCAGATCTATCACCCTTTTCATTCCAGCTGTTAAATAATTTTAAGTGCACCACAGGAGCAGAGATACTGCCCTAGAGCACAGAGTTTTACTTGCCTTCAATGAGCATCTGTTATTAAGAGTCTAAAACACCCAAGATGGCCCAGTTCTTTTTTATTCCAATGCTATTATGAGCAACTACATTAGATAAGCCCTGAGACGCATCACAGTAAGAAACAGGAGCTCAGTTTGGCCTAAAAAAACCTAGAAACTTGTCAGCTGTTTCTGCTTCTTGCCTTAGATACYAGCATTAATTCAAAATAGCTATTCGCTGCTAAAGCACGAGCCCAACAATCCAGAGTTCTACCAAAATATTTTCCAGGCAGTGACAGAAATACAAAGAGGAGCTGTACTCAGCAACCCAGACTCGTTTCAATAGATCCATTATTGCACAGAGGACACAAATCAATCCCACAAGCTCTGCTGAACTGCACACAGCATTTACAGACAAGCCCACAGCCATATATTTACTATTGTACTGGCAAAGGAGACTGGTTCTAACTTGTGGCACAAATGGGAAGTGAGTGGTTTTGGTTGTCAAAAGATGTACTTTTTTTTTTTTTTTTATGTATTTACAGTGAGTGACCTCACTGGGAATGATTTTTCTTTTACCCGAACGGTTCCATCCCACTCTCGCTCTCCGGCTGGTTCTGCAAGGGAAGCTTTTCAAGTTGCTCCAAAGCTTTTCTGCCTTCACTGCTTTCGACACGGGTTACGTAACATTTCCCAAAACAAGCAGCCCGCAAATTAGAAGCTACATCTTTTATTTAACACCTATTTCCTAGTATAGAGGAAACATTTGGGTCGAGAAAAACAGAGCCTTGCACTGCATCTCTGGGCACACGCTTGTTTAACTTGCATATAAACTTTGGAGGCAGCCCAAGCCAAGCAGAAATCCCTCACGCTGGCTTTTYTCAGCACACGATCTCCTCATGAGATCATTTGCTACGCAGGTACAGGGACAAATAGAGCCTGCCCAGAAGGAAGCTGCACATTTAAAGGCTTCTCAGGCAAAAGCTGCTCTTAGAAGAGCTGCACAAGCCACAACAAAGAGCTCTCAAATTAACCAGCCGATAGCAGGGATGCATTTGCTTCCACTTTGCAAACATAATACTGAAGGTGTGTTCATATTTATTAAAATGCAGAGCCTGTTAATCCACAGACAGTACAACATCAGTGTTGGAGCAGAGACTCCACAATGTGACAAGCTGCTGAGTTACCCTCCTCCCCATCATCAGTACAAGGAAATTAATTCCAAGTTAACCAGAAAGAGTTAACTTGGTTAACTCACAAAAAAATTTAGAGTACAGATATGAGATACAGCTCTGAAACAAGAATGAACAATTATCTGTGATTATTCTCAAAAGCAGGAGGAAAATAATAACGATGTCCTCTAAATGACTCTAATACTAGGGAAAAAAATCTGTACAAGTCTGTTAATGGAGAAGAAAGTCTACTACACGAAAATAGGGAAAACACTAAAATATCTCCTGTCGGTCCATGTCTGTGATTAGGGGCAGCTCTGGGGATCTTCCAAACCCACCTGGATGCCACCCTGTGCCCCGTGCTCTGGTGTCCCTGCAGGAGCAGGGGGGCTGGACTAGATGATCTCTAGAGGTCCCTTCCAAACCTAATCATTGTGTGATTCCGTGATCACACCCAGAAGGGACAAGCCTGGACAAACCAGGCACAGCAGCTCCCCACAGTCATTTGGGCGGCTCTGCATCATGCTGAGGTCCTCTGGTTTAGCAGTTCTAGCTCAGTACCAGGCACACGTGGAGGCAGAAGGGGAACTGGAAGCATCAACACAGACGGCTGAATCCTAGCGCTCCTCTCAGGTGCCGCTCTAATTGGTTTTTCAGTTTCCCATATTGGGCAAACTATGACAGACACGCACAGTTTGTTCGTATCACACACAATCAGGAAGATCCAAAGATTAAAGTTGACTCCTGGATAATTGCAGCATGGTTGGAAGCTTGTTCCGATAAGGCGATACTCTTATCTCAAACTGTGACGCGCCACATGCCACAGGTTCCTCCTCCTGCAAGGGAGGGCCCCGCTCCTGCAGGCTTGGCATCTGGGAAGCGGTCCCAGACACATCTTAGTATCAGGAACCAYCATCTTACAGAGTCAGGCACCGAAATTCTTAAATTAGTGCCTCCAAATAGCTGTATCATGCAAACCCTCTCTAAGAAAGGCTACATGAAGTCAGACATACTTTTCACTGTGCTATTTCTGACAGACACATGTCATTGAACACTTTGAGCCTTCAAAACTTAGCTGCTGCTAACACAAGTTTGGCCAAGCAATCGAACAAAATGTTTTAACATTCTTCCTCTACTGCAAATGCTACCCTGTCCAACTTTATAAAGCCATCCTCAACACTGCTTATAAAACTTAGGCAAGAGAATCAGCATAGGAAGCTTACCAAAACATATGTAAATATTTGGGTCATGAAAAGAGAAGGCTTCCTTACTGGTGAGGATGTCTCTTCTCTCCACATTCAACCCTGGATGCAGCTGTTTGTCCCATTTCGAGGAAGAGCCTTCCCTGACACTAGTTTACTTAGTTCTGTAGCTCAATTGTAATAAAAGTTTATGTTTTACAGGTAGTATTTAGTAAGGGATAATCACCGAGGAAAACTGAATATATATTTAATTTACCACTCTGTGGGGGCTTTCCCCTCCACTGAAGGATATTATTTCATTTAGCTGTCAATTCAGCACCTCTTGTTGGTGCATACATTTTGACTATGTCAATTTGTATTCTGAAATCCCAAATTCTGCTCATATTTCCCTATGATCACTTCGCAGAAGTTTGTTTGCTCAACCTCTTACTTGCAGCTTCTTAAACTGCTAGAAGGAGTCACTGATCCTCTGAAAATCCTCAGTTTTCTACATCTAAAGACAATCTAAAGACTATTTTCTAACATTTGTGATCATAAGATACATCCTTAGTTATATTATCACATAAAATTAAAATCGTTAAAGTCAAAATTTGCTCATCCAGAGCTCAGAAAAAAGAGTTACTCATAGCACATTAATGATACCTCCTAAAGCATGTGAAATGCACAGACTTAGCTATGTCCTATTCCTAACTTTATTTTTAAACTTTCTTTTTTCTCTTCATGTTTGCACTACTACCCTTCAAATAGACAGCCTTTGTTTAGTTAGGAATACAGACACACTATTTTAGACAGAACACRAAATATAAATACATTTCTGCTGGTGGGAAATGAGGAATTCGTATCACTTTATATTCTGACTCTGTATTCTGACTTAGATACCTATACACTAAATGCCAATACTCTGACTTTACTGACATTAAACTGCATTTAATGGCCAAGAAATACCCCACACCAACTGCTGTGTAAACTACTCCTTACTTTCAACAGACTAAGTTGATGGAAAACACAAACATCCTACAAGCAAAGACACCTAAGCAAGCAGTTACCAGTTGGCAGAATCTTCTTGCACTCCTTGCACAGAGCTCCTCTTCCTCAGATTGCTGGTGCAGCAGTTTGTCTCCAGAACCTGAGCAAACAAGAGAACAACAGGAAGAATAAGTGGTGTTCAGAGCTGACAATAGCTCAGGTAAGCAAAATTAATCCCCTGTCACTGTGATGCCATCCAACACAGTTAAGAATCCAAATAAAACATCCTGATTTCAGAAATCTTTGGGATTCTACAGAAGCGACAGCAGAAGCTAAGGGGAGGGTGTCCTTACAAACACCTCTGAGTCAGAGCAGCAATTAGCTCTCCATGAGCGCAAGCACCAGAAATAGAGCATTGCAGCTCAGCACTGCTGAGCAAAGATGCAAGTAACGGCAGCACCAAAAAATACACCRTTACATCTCAGCATTAGTGAGCTAAATTACAAACAGTTGCAATAGAAAGAGGAAAAAGAAACCATCCTTGCCATTTTACTTACAAGGTTATATATGTTTTCTACAGAGGGGAAAAAAATACCCCACACATTTGGTTTCTACAGCTTTCACCAGGTAAAAATAACATGGTCAACAGCAGCTTTTACTGTTCTGAGTTGACTGTAAAAATACTCACACGCCCCTCCCGCAAACCAAGTCTCTGTTCGACGAGTTTTGCTCCCGCGCGGTCAGACCAGCCGAGCGTTTCCGATGGAAACTCTCCACTCGGCCCTGCTCACACCGGTCTCTGCACTGTTCACTTGCAACAGGTCTCATATGGAAAAGAAATTCCACTTTTTTTAGGATTTTAATTGGATGGTGGGTAGTTCTTTTTTATTTTGACCATCTTAAACACTTCTGAGTGTTCCCAGCTAAACTTGCTCCAGTAAAACCACTGCAGCTCTTCCTTCTCCTTGTATAATTATATTATCCTTGTATAATTTAGAATTTGGGATTTCTTTTCAAGAGCAATATTTCCATTTTGGACTAGAGAATCGTCACGGTCTTCCCAAAACATCCTGTAGTGAGGCCACTTTTATCAAAAACTGGTTTTAAAAACGTAAGTTCTGTTAATGACATTTGCAGATCCACTTGAATAGGCCTAAGTTATCCAATGTTAATTTGTATTTCATCAGCAAGAAACACTCCTTATATTATCTAAAGCTAACAATATTTAACACAAAAAGATTAAAGACTGATGCAAAATGAATCACAAAGACCAAAGTACTGGTGAAAAGGGAGGTTGTGATTTTAGTTTAGTGAGAACTATCACCAGAAGTTGCACCCCACGGCTTTTCCTGCACAGAACCAGCCTGCAACCCAAGCTAGGGGTGCAGTGAGAAGAGGCAAATTAAAGTGTTTACACTGCAAATATTGTCCAAAGCACCGACTCTTTCTGTGAAAGAGAGATTCTAGAGAGGASCCAAGGCCCTGGATCAGACTTTGCTTCTGAGCATCTGCTCCCGTTTCAGTCCCCTCAGGCCCCGGTGCCTCCTGCCTGGGGCCAACACAGGCTGGTAGTTCAGCAAGCGGCGCTGCCCATCKATTAACCTGAAAATCTCTTCCAATTTCCACAGGGCCAACTCAATTACAGCCACTCTGCCAGTTCTGCATGTTTAGACTCCTTTATAATCACCTGAAGCAGCGCACAGGGTTTTGCTTTCTTAATCTAACCTGTGATGAAGAGGCTCCATTCCAGAGCTTCATCCTTCATCGCAGACCCACATCACCCCTGTGCTGCTGGCATTTGCTCCTTTGTATACAAGCTCAGTGTTCCTGGCAATGCCAATGTGTACGTAGGGGCTTAGAGATATCTGGAAAACTTTAATCAGGCTTAGCCACCACTAAGGAAGGCTTCCTGGAGAGCTCCGTGTCAAGAGCTGCCTGGAAATCTTTGCAGAGGGATATGAGAAGCTCATCAGGACCCAGATGCAGGGACCTGAGCTCAAAGCATCTCCTCAAATCCYCTCAAAGCTCTGCCTGCCGAGCTGAAGCCCTGCAGTCTCGTTCTCTCCTTTACTGCTGGCAAGTATTCCCAAGTATTCCAAATATCCATCTCCCACAGGTACTACTGGACTGGCTGAGGCATTTGGAGAGATGCCATTTCCCTGCTCCAACTACAGACAGATTACACTGCATCCTCAAAATCCCAGAAATCCCCCCAAAAAATATTGTTTGGTGCATATTTAGGAATAACTGCAGCCAGCATCAGCCTGTAACACCAAACGCTGCTGAACAGCCATAACTCACATTTAACATCACACACACCACGCACAGCACCTTAGCCTGTGTATGTATATAAATATATATTCTCATAAAGATCCTCAAAKATACAGAACTGTCAGAGAGTGTCAGACAGCTTATGGCATCTGATAAAGAATTTTGTTGTCATACGTAAGAGACCGTGTTGAGCAGTCAAAATAATTCTTGCACAGCTTCTTATGGATGCAGAAGACAACTGATCCAGGCTCCCATTGAGGTAACAAAACCTATAAATACTGAAATTCCCATGGAAAATAAACCTTGTTAGAGAAGTTCATCCCTCATTAGAGCTTTTTTTTTTTTTTTTCCCCTCTCTCTTCTTACAAAGATATTGCCCAAACTTTAATTCCAAGTGAAAACTTGGAAGAGGGAGCTSTCCTGTGATTTGAGGAATTGGCAGCCGGAGAACTATTAAAATATTCCCAGGAGTTTACTCCTACGCAGCGGAAAGGGGAATAATTTATCATCTGCTTATTTTCAGGAGAGTAATGAAACCGAACATTTAAGATCAAAAGAATTACACTCAAACYCAACAGTTTAAGCCTCCACCATGCATCACTGATAATTAGTAACGATTATGTTACAACACATTACAAAGAACAAATTCATGAAAAGACTTTGGTTTTGCTCCAGAAAATTGCCCAGCTCTGCTTCCATATGCCACACGAGAGCACACAGGAGATGCACGAGAGATCCCCCCCCCAAGTGACTCCTTCTTCATGCACCAGAACAGTTTCAGAGAAGCTCATTTTGCTCGATTTGAGCATTTAGTGATATTCTTTATAGATTTTTATCTGGAAAAACATCAAAACACATTCAGGTATCAGAAGTYAATCTTCACCTGATGTACAAGATTATCCCATTTAAATTTAGGAGTTGCAGAGACACAGGAGATTGATAYTTTATCCTCACACTTCCCTCCACTTGATTCAGATTTAAAGCATTATCAATCCCTATGTTTTCTTTATGGCAACACACTACTTGACAGGGAAATGTCGCTTACCAGAAAGAGTGACCATTTTTTTTCCTGTTAATTATGTCAAAATTATGGGCATCATTTCCAATTTTAAACATTCATCCCCCTTTGTGCTATATTCCAGCTTTCAAGGCCTAGACTTGTGAACTCAGCAGGTTTGCATGACTTGGTTCAGCCACTTTCCTTTGAAAACACAGGTTTTCAAACCTACTCTGAAGCACTACTGAAGGTCTGAAACCAAATACAACCCTTATCAAGTGTTTTGTTCCCATACTTATCAAGTGTTTTGTTCCCATAGGAATCCCGTGTGCCTGTCCCTGTCTCATGAGTTTTGACTATCACAGGACTGTTTCTCACCTCCGAAAGCTCTGGCTCCCGTGACTCCCCAGGGCTGCCCATCCCAGACCCAGGTTTACATCAACGCAGCAGCAAGGAGGCAACTCCTGGGTTAAATCAAACCAACGCTGCTAAACACCCATGTTGTTCAACCAAACCCTGAGCACATCTCGCTGCCTTCAAGTATAAACACAGAAGTGCTCTTGTACTGATGGGAACACCGAGGAGGCAGCCTGCTCGACTCCAGGCAGTCAAAATATAGAGGCAGGACACAATAGATAAAATAAAACCAGTATTTTCTCCAAGCAGTTACTCCTTATGTGCTTCTACTCCTGTTAAAGGAAGGATGGTCAATCTCCTTTTAATAACAGTTTCAACTTCTGCTATACAGACCCAGCAGGCAAGAAAAAAATACTAAGGAAAAAACAACATGATTGAAGGTTCAAGTGGAGGAGGAGGAGATCAGGAAGCAGCAAGGTGAGGGCACCCAACAGGCCTGTGCATGTGGCTGTCACAAAATAGGCCTACGACACCAAGGATGAGGGCAGGTTACAGAGCTAAGTGCAATGATACAAGATCCTGCTTACTGTGAAAGCGGATTTGAAGGAGATGACAGCATGACCCTTCTTGCCAAAGTGCTCATGAACTTGGCAAGCTGATGTCAAGAGCAAGTTACTGGCTTTCTGCTTTGATTTACAGAGTTATGGCCACATGGGAGGCCAGAGCTTGGAAGACTTCTTCATTTTGACAACACTTAAACCCAGGCAGCAAATCCTCTGAGCCCCTGGCCTCAATTAATACACATGCCGCTCGCTGGACATGCTACATCTGGCCAAGGGAAACTCCATGTATAAAATGGGAAAGAATCCATGGAAAGAACACAGGATCAGTTCCAAATCTGTTCATTCTCAATGGAAGACATGATAGAAAGGTCTATTTGTAACAGGAGGTAGCAGAGTAGTAAGAGKGCTAGCAAGGACACAAGTTTTAGGGGTAACATAGATGAACCTTTAGAGGTGAGGCTTGAGAGACTGGAGCTTGCAGAGCTCTGCTGCAGGGACAGGTTTAGCTTTTCTACTGGACAAAGTTCTGCCCTTCGCCCTGGGAGAGAAGACTGAAACCCAGGACTTCCCCATCCCCTTCCTCACCGGGTTTCACTGTGCTGTCAGTCCTGAATGGAGTATTTGCTCCACAGAGCTTTTTTCCCCCACCTAGGTTTACACAGGCTCATTCATCAAGAGGCAGGYAGCACTTCCAGCCCTTATCCACGTTACAGCTTTGTCAACTACGTAAATAATTTAAGCTCCTATCTTAAATGTGCTCAATCCGTGTTTCAGAATCCAATACCTACCTTTTTGGGGTTGTTTTTGAAGGTACCGCCATGCCCACGTTTGAGACCTTGAACAGGACGTCCTACCCTTCAAAGCTCATCTGCAACCCCGTATTTTCACATCCGTTTCTCACTACAGAAACGCTGCTAAAA